CATTTTTGTTGACACATCTACAATAAGTAAAACATTAAACAAAAATGGAGTACATGGGAGGACACCACGGAGGAAGCCATTGCTGTCCAAAAAGAGTATTGCAGCACGTTTGAAGTTTGCAAAAGAGCACCTGGATGTTCCACAGCACTACTGGCAAAATATACTGTAGACAGATGAAACCAAGATTGAGTTGTTTGGGAAGAACACACAACACTATGTGTGGAGAAGAAAAGGCACAGCACACCAACATCAAAACCTTATCCCCACTGTAAAACATGGCGGAGGGAGCATCTTGGTTTGGGGCTGCTTTGCTGCCTCAGGGCCTGGACGGATTGTTGTCATTGATGGGGAAAATGAATTCCAGAGTTTATCAAGACATTTTGCAGGAAAACGTACGACCATCTGTCCGCCAACTGAAGCTCCGCAGAGGATGGGTGATGCAACAGGACAATGACCCAAAGCATACAAGTAATATACCAAAACAATGGCTACAACAGCACAGAATACGCCTTCTGGAGTGGCCCAGTCAGAGTCCTGACCTCAACCCGATTGAAATGCTGTGGCATGACCTTAAGAGAGCGATTCACACCAGACATCCCAAGAAAATTGCTACACTGAAACAGTTTTGTGAAGAGGAGTGGTCCAAAATTACTCCAGATCGTTGTGCAGGTCTGATCTGCAACTACAGGAAACGTTTGGTTGAGGTTATTGCTGCCAAAGGAGGGTCAACCAGTTATTAAGTCCGAAGGTTCACATACTTTTTCCTCCCTGCACTGTGAATGTTTACATGTTATGTGCAATTAAACCATGGCAACATCTAATGTTTGTGTAGTATTATGTTCAGCAGACTGTGTTCTTCTATTGTTGTGACTTAGATGACGTTCAGAGCACATTTTATGCCCAATTCATGCAAAACTCCACGTAATCCCAAGGGGTTCACATACCTTTTCTTGCAACTGTATTGAACAGCTACAACAAAAAATCTTTCACTGGTGTATTCAACAGACCAAAAGGAGCAAACAAAAGACTTTAGTTGTAAGGGTTTACATACATTGCATATCTTTAGTTCTGTGCTATACGAGCAATTAAATCTCACTGTTATGAAGAGATTTAACGGCTTGTTGTGCTATCTCAACGCCATCATATTGATTTTAGTGTCCTTAATTTTATTTTTTAAGCTGAAAAACACATTTCAGCAAGAACATAAAATACCTATGAACTTGCCAGAATACAGTGCTCTAGTCACTTCATGTGAGCTGAACTGGAAGCACAAAACAATCCCATCTTCCTTCTGTACACTACTCATCTGCCATGTAATGGAGATGAACAAAGACATATTTAAAGTCCAGCCTGGGTGGCAACCATGGCTTCCTCCATAGATATAGTGCAGGAGTGAACGTGGCCACCCATGGACAAGAGTGTGTTAGTTACAGGTCTAAAGGATAAAGGCCTAACAAAAATGCAGCAGGTTTTGAGGTTATGCTTTAAATCTCTTGGTAGCAAAAAGACAATTTCCTATGTAGCCCTAGCCTCATAATGAATGATGCATTCCTACATATACAGCCCATCACTGCAGTAGAATCTGGTAGGTCAGAAATGTTTTGTGTAAGCTGACCTTACACATTACAATCTGACTGAATAATATTCTTGGATCAAACAAGTGAAGGCTGCATACAAACTGAATGCACTTTTGAAGCAGGCCCTCACATTTTAGGCAGTTAGAAAATTTATAAAGGTTTGTAAAGTTTAGGGGCAGCTTTACACTTCAAAATGTTTTGCTCAGTTCACTACATGTGTGTTACAGCTGATCAGCAGATGTGAATAGAGGATGTCACATGCAGCTCCATTCACTATACGGAAGAATGGAAGATGTCATACAAACATTAAAGCAGTGGGATAGTCAGGCAACAAGTTGCATCTCATACACTTACAGTATTTGCTTGTTTGGATGAAACTGCACATGTATTTTACATTATTTATATTATAATTACAACAGGTAGGTTCCAACAGTCTGTCTTAATGCTGACCGTCACTCTCATTTTTGGAAATTACATAACATTTTGCACACCCTCCTACCACAGAACTGCATACTTTTTTTCCCCCTTTTTCTAACATCCCCCCTTTATTTCGTTTCCCTCCCTCTACTTCCATATTTTTCACCTAGGGGAGGATGATGTTTCTGGCATTCCACGGGATGTACATGTCATATATCCAAGAAGTCTTTAGCCAACTCCTATAGCACTCACACATGCACACCCAGTGCTCAACCCGTGGAATTATATTATTTACGTATTGCCAATACCATCGTGACAGGATTCCCCAGCTAAAACAGTAACTATGCAGGCATGGGATCTTCTGCTGGCTGCATCATTGTAGGGGGCGGCAAAGAATAGCACACAATAAAGGGACAGAAACCTCTGCTCTTACTGAAAATGGCCACTAGGCTATGACCAGGGAATATGAAATCTAAAATATCCATGAAAATAATAGCCTTCATGTAATAGTAAACAGTATCTATTTTTACATTGGCATTTTCCATTTTTAATGGTGTCTTCATTTTAATTTTAACAATTTGGGTGAAGAACCTCTTTAAGTAACAAAATTAGTATGTTGTGAATCCACTAACGCAGGGCAATATGATCCATATCTGGATACATCAGTAAATCATAAGTGCCTTTTAGCTGACCTGAACATTTAGACACAATATATACAGAAACATCTGTGTTCTTATAACATTTCTTAGGATACAACTTTTAAAGAGATAAAAAAATTCAAAAAACAGTTCAATGTCTTTTCTCTTCAAAAGTGCCAGTTACAAATTAACATTTAATTATATTTTACAATTTTTCCTTACCAGTATTTTCAAAAGTAAACAAAATGCATACCATTGTTGCGTGTTTTAAGAGTGCGTTATCAATAGGAATAAAGTAAAGTAAAACTGTGTCGACAGAAATATGGGGGGCAACTTTGCTACATTCCTCCTTAAAACACTAGTTGCCTGGCTGTTATATTAAATCACTTAAATCAGAACAGGCAAGCATGACAGCCAGTCAACTAGCATTCTTAAAAGATGAGATCATCAGTGGTAGACTGAATGACAGGTGTAGTTTACAAAACAAAGGAAGCATTTTGACAGGTATATCCCCCCAAAAAACACACACACACACACACACACACACAAGCAAATTTTAGGCACGCAGTGAACACTGGTAAATACCTTTGTTCAATGCTGAATCTTGCCTTGTTCAATGTTACTTTCCATTCCAGAAGTGCACACTAAGGTTGGCAGCTGCTGACCTTCCAAAACTTTTCTGACATCTCTCAACAGAAGTTGATTAAAGTGGTTGTAAAGGCTGAAAATATTTTTTTTTACCTTCATGCATCCGATGTGCACGACGAGAGCAGTGGCTCTCCCTTCTCGCTGGCTGAGACAGCTGCGGGAAACAATGGCTCACACTGTTAATCGCAGCCAATGAGGAGGGAGTGGAGACAGGCCAAGCCGCAATCTGTGTGTGAATGGACAGCTGCTCGGGAATGAGTCTGCTCGTGTGCCCCCATGGAAAGCTGCTTACGCCTGGGCATTTGGCAGGAGGGAGGGGCCACGAACACGGGGCGCCCAAGAAAAAGAGGATAAGGGCTTCTCTGTGCAAAACCATTGCACAGAGCAGGCAAGTATGAAATGTTTGTTATTAAAAAAAAAAAAACAACACCTTTATTATCACTTTTAACTTCGACTTCTGTCGAGCTGGGGAGGGCCACACACTGATCAAAATTTAGACAGTCCCTACTGATGTAGCCAAATTTCGATCAGTGTATGGATAGTATAAGGAATAGGATAGGAGGATTCTAGCTGGCTGCAGCATTATATCACATTGATAAAAACTCTAGGTCAGTCTACATTCATATGCAAATAACTGCAGAACTGCACTTTAAAAGTAAAAACTAACATATAGCCATTCCTAACCTCATTTCTTTGTGCTGCAAATAAAGAACATCATGTAGAAAAATATGGGGCAAGCAAGAAAAAAAAAAAAGAAGAAGAAACGAAGAAGCATGTGTGAAGGCTTGTACACTGTCACTGCACTTATCATTCTGTTATCTTAGCTGCTGTGAGTGTTGAAGAAAAATATCAAAACACAATAATATATTACTAGTGATGGATGTAGCAAAGATGGCTGTGGCACTCAGACCCAACAGCAGTTTGCACCCAGCCCCACTCCACCAAACTGGAAGGGTCTCTTTGGGGTCCCATAGAATACTAAAGGGACAAGGCAGGAAATACAACAACTGAGCTTCCCCACAGAAAGTAACTGCCACTATTATGCATATATCTCCAAACTGAACATGGGAGGAACAGGCTGATTCAACACAGCCTCTTCCAATGATAAAGATTAGTGATGTCTGTGATCTTGATCTCTAGACAATATTTGAAGATTGTTATGAACTTTTACTCTTTAACTTTCATACACTTAAGTAGAGAATTAACTTTTGGGTAAATGTTTCTGCTCTAATGGCATCAAAGTATCAAAGTGAAGACTGCCAATAACAGCAAAGCAGGGCTGCACCAAGCGCTCATGAGTTAGAATAACTTAATTGTGATGTACCATCATCAACTAGGATAAATATCATGCAACAAGTGCTTAATTAAAACTAGATAGGAGTTTCATTGCAATATTAAATATACCAACATCTCCATATATATATTATTTAAAAGCTTAGATCAAAATTCCCTTTGAGTAAATCTAGAGGCCAGTCTCTAGTGTTAAGTGAGGAGTTAAGCATCCACGCTCTATAGCTGCAGTAATTGAGAGAATCCTCTCAACGTATATCCTGACAGATTACTACAGTATCAGTAAGTGGGCTGGTTATGATGGGGCACACAGGATATGTCTACGCTTACCAGCTACAGTACAGCCAAGCATTCGTGAATTGCAGGGAACAGTAATTTTAGAACTGTTGACAAAGAATCACATTGCAGTTCTGTCAACACAAATGTTTGTTTATAAATCAAATGTGTCCCTATGGCTTGTACTTGTTTCGACACCATGCCCTGTGCTACTTGTTTCCACGAAAACCGACTCAAGGGCAGCTTCCTGATCTTCCAGGGTGGCTACAGATGAGGCTGTGCTCAGGGATGGGTTGTTGGGGAACTCTTGCTGTTCCTGTCGTTTCTCAGCCTCTCCAGCTTTGCGTCCTCTTCTTTTGCCAAGGATTTTGATGTAGTTGGCAGGAATGAATCCTGTAGTTTGCCCATCCAAGCTTCCAAGCAGCCAGCCTCTTATGTTAGGTTGTTGTTCTGAAACCAAACACAGGTTATAAATGTCACATTCTTACTTGAGAATATTAGGTATTAAAGCAGAGCCTTCTACTGGTTTGTGTATGAAGAGAAAAATAATCACTTAACATGGTGAACCATCTATCATTTTAGTAGGAAGAGTAGATCAGCAGAGACCTCTCCTTCCCGTCAGATGACAACGATGATCACTGCTTGCCGTCAAGAAGTCATGCGGTAACAGGACACTTCCAGTCATGCAAGACACAACAATAATAAGTAGAGAAGGGGACTTGGGAACAGGAACTCTCTGACTCAGGGAGGGAGGACGAATAATCCTAAAAAATAACACATCCCTACATTGCCTTGGCCATGCTGATTTGTCAATATATTTATTAATCTGATTAATCATTAACCGCTTGAGCTCTGGAAGATTTTATCTCCTTCATGACCAGGCCATTTTTAGCTATTTTGCACTTTGTCACTTTAACCGGTTCCCTGTCACCCTATAGCAGAACTACGGCTGTATATATACGTGATTTTGCATTTCTGAGTAGGGTGCACACACACAGCACAGTTAACCCTTTGATCGCCCCAGATGTTAATCCCAGTGCCATTAGTACAGTGTCAGTAAAAGGTGAAACTAATATATGAGATAGACTCATTACATGCAAAGCAAGATAGTTCAAGCCGTGATTTGTCATAATTGTGATGATTATGGCTTACAGCTCATGAAAACCCCAAATCCACAATCTCAGAAAATAAGAATATTACATGCAATCAATAAAACAAGGATTGTACATAGAACAATATCGGACCTCTGAAAAGTAGAAGCATGCATATGTACTCAGTACTTGGTTTGGGCCTCTTTTGCAGCAATTATTGCCTCAATGCGGCGTGGCATGGAAGCTATTGGCCTGTGGCACTGCTGAGGTGTTATGGAAGACCAGGATGCTTCAAAAGCTGCCTTCAGCTCTTCTGCATTGTTCGGTCTCATGTCTCTCATCTTTCTCTTGGCAATGCCCCATAGATTCTCTATGGGGTTCAGGTCAGGTGAGATTGCTGGCCAATCAAGCACAGTAATCCCCCGGTCATTGAACCAGGTTTTGGTGCTTTTGGCAGTGTGGGCAGGTGCCAAGTCCTGCTGGAAAATGAAGTCAGCATCCCCAAAAAAGCTCGTCTGCGGAAGGAAGCATGAAATGCTCCAAAATTTCCTGGTAGACGGCTGCGTTGACCCTGGACTTAATGAAGCACAGTGGACCAACACCAGCAGATGACACGGCTCCCCACATCAACAGACTGTGGAAACTTCACACTGGACTTCAAGCATCTTGCAGTGTGTGCCTCTCCATTCTTCCTCCATACTCTGGGTCCTTGGTTTCCAAATGAGATGCAAAGGTTACTCTCATCAGAAAAGAGGACTTTGGACCACTGAGCAACAGACCAGGTTTGTTTTTCTTTAGCCCAGGTAAGACGCTTCTGACGTTGTTTTGATGTTCAGGAGCGGCTTGACAAGAAGAATACGACATTTGAAGCCCATGTCCAGGACCTGTCTGTGTGGTGCTCTTGATGCACTGACTCCAGCCTCAGTTCTTGTGAAAGTCCCCAACACTTTTGAATGGCCTTTTCCTGACAATCCTCTCCAGGCTGCGGTCATCCCTGCTGCTTGTGCACCTTTTTCTTTCACACTTTTCCCTTCCACATAACTTTCTATTAATGTGCTTTGATGCAGCACTTTGGGAACATCCAACTTCTTTTGCAATTACCTTTTGAGTCTTTCCCTCTTTATAGAGGATGTCAATGATGGTTTTCTGCACAACTGTCAGGTCAGCAGTCTTCCCCATGATTGTGATTCCTACTGAACCAGACTGAGAGACCATTTAAAGGCTCAGGAACCCTTTGCAGGGTGTTATGGCTTAATTAGCCGATTAGAGTGGGACACTTTGAGCCTAGAATATTGCACCTTTTCACAATATTCTAATTTTTTGAGATTGTGGATTTGGGGTTTTCATGAGCTGTAAGCCATAATCATCACAATTATGACAAATCACGCCTTGAACTATCTTGCTTTGCATGTAATGAGTCTATCTCATATATTAGTCTCACCTTTTAAGTTGCATTACTGAAATAAATGAACTTTTGCACAATATTCTAATTTTTTGAGTTTCACCTGTATTAGTATCAATGGGATGTCAGTGGCAGTTAGTTTTCCTCGCAGTGTCAGAATGCCTGCCGCAGTCCCGCTATAAGTCGCTGATCGGATATATATGCCGCCATTTGTAGACACTATAACTTTCACGTAACCCAATTAATTTACACGTATTGGGATTTTTTTTTTTTAGCAGAGACATGTAGCAGAATACATTTTGGCCTAAATTTATGAAGAAAATTTGATTGTGTTAATTTTTTACTGGATATGTTTTATAGCGAAAAGTTAAAAATATTAGGCAATCAAATACTACTGAAAGATCGCTGGGGAAAACAAAGGACAAATTTCATTTATATGCAACGTTGCATGACTGTTGCAATTGTCAGTTAAAGTAATGCAGAGCCGTATCACAAAAAATGGCCTGGTCAGGAAGGGGGCTAAATCCTCTGGAGGACAAGTGGTTAAAGAGTAACTCCACTTTTGTTGAGAAAAGCATTGATCTATGTACATTGCAAGGATTATAACCAACGTTGTTGCAGATTCCTGCTTTTTGTTATTCTGAAGAAAAAGCTGTTTGTCTGTGTCCATGTGGAAAGTGAATACGTATGGGAGTGGTTGTATAATTATCAATCAGGTACTGCACCTGCAAGGCTCTAATAAGGACAGTGGCAGGGTCTGCATCCCTTTAGATGTGATTTCCTATTGGGAGTATCTCACCAAAAATTACATTTTTGTTGTACGGGATGCCTGAAATCTGACTTATCTTAGTGCAGACTTCTGGGAAAAGCAGTAAGCCAATCACACAAGCAGGAAATGTTGCTGGGGGGCGTTCTGTTCACATGCTGTGTACATAACAGCTCCAGGTAGCCATATTGCTTTGCATTTTACAGTGCAGCAGATTGAAGAGGAAAGGTCATTTTTAATAACATTCAATTACAATATGACTTTTGTCGCACGTTTTTAGTTGCTATTTTTTCCCCACAAACTACAGTATATATATTTTTTTTGTATACTACTAATGGCAGCAATCAGTGACTTATAACGGGTCTGCAATACTGCGGTGGGCAATCTGACACTAACTGACATCACCAGTGACACTTATACAGTGATCAGCGACAATAATACTATACACTGTAACTGTACTAATGACACTGGCTGGGAAGAAGTGAACAAGGGCAATCAAGGGGTTAAATATGTGCCTAACTATGTGTGATGTGTGTACAGTGTGCGGCCTTTACTAGCTGATCTCTAGCTTGTGTTGTAAGCATGAGAAACTGACCAATTGCTCCCTTGGTTCAGAGCTCTGTGTTGTTTACCAACAAAAGTGCTCTGGGCTGTGATTGCACACAGCCAATCAGCAAGCCACGGCCATGAATCATTGGCCTGGACTTGCTGACAGGCTCCTGCTGTGTGCAATCACAGCGAGTGACAGGTGGGGGGTACGTGCGCCCTAAATCCCGAAGTAGGCGGTGACATACAAGTACGTCACTTTCCTGTAGTACAGTGCAGGCGGGCAGCAAGCGGTTAATCACCCTCTGATGCTCTTTTCTGTTTCAGCAGCCCATACAAATATGGCAATCCTATGACGTACAGAAGGTGAAAACATCCCCAGAACATACAAACTACCACCAGCATCCGTTACACTTTCTCTCTGCTACAACAAGGAAAAGAGGAAGAGGGAGAAGATAAAAAAAAAAAAAAAAAAAGAATTACCTTTGGGTGCCAGGTTTAGCATGTCACCAGCATGGAAAGAAATCTCCTCATCTGAAGTAGCTGTGAAGTCATAGTCTGCTCTTCCCACAACATGGTCACCTTCCCCATTTGCCCAGTTTATGTTTTCTAGAGAAGGTAAGGAATAAAAGCAACTAAGGGCACCATGTTCATTTTAGTTTGCATAAAACTTTAAGAACAAATAATGTACTCATAAGTACAACTCGAACTTTATGCTTCCTCAGTGCACCATGCAATGCCTCTGATAATGATTTTCTAGAAATATGGTCTCACTATATCCACCAACAGATCACTGTCTATCTCATTGGTTAGAATACCTCCACTTCCCTCTTACTCTTCTTCACCCTCTTTCTTCTTCTTCTAGTATCTTCATTTCTCATATGCTTTTTGCCACATTTCCGGTGCATTTTGCACCTGTGAAAGAAGGACACGTGACTCCAAAAATGCAACTGCTGGTGCATTTTTTAAACATTTTCTATTCATTTCAAAGGGGAGGTGTGTTTTAGGTGTGGTTTTTTTTACTGCACCAAAATGCAGCATTCAGGACTTTTAAAAAAATACAACTGTCCTGCAACTAACTCAACCTCTCCAAAACCGAGCTCCTCATCTTTCCCCCTGCCAACCCCCCCCCCATCCTATCCATCATCACCAACAACTCCACTATCACTCCCGCCCCGCAAGCCAAAGTCCTTGGCGTCATTCTTGACGCAAACCTCTCCCTCCAACCGCATGTCAAATCACTCACAAACACATGCAGGCTCCATCTCCGCAACATTGCCAAGATACGCTCCTTCCTCACCCCAGACACCACCAAACTTCTAGTACACTCCCTCATCATCTCACGCCTTGACTACTGCAACTCCCTCTTCACTGGCCTACCCAAGTGCAGGCTCTCCCCGCTCCAGACCATCCTGAACTCAGCTGCCAGACTCATCCACCTCACCACCCGCTCCACCTCTGCCACCCCCCTCTGCCTCTCCCTCCACTGGCTCCCGATTGCCCAACGCATCAAATTTAAACTCCTAACCCTGACCTACAAAGCCGTTCACAACACTGCCCCTGACTACCTCACCAACCTGATCACCAAGTACCACCCTACCCGTACCCTTCGCTCCTCACAGGACCTCCTTCTATCCTGCTCCCTGGTCTCCTCCTCCCATGCACGACTGCAGGACTTCTCCAGGTCCTCCCCCATCCTCTGGAACTCACTGCCCCAATCCATCAGACTGTCGCCTTCCCTATTCACATTCAGGCGCTCCCTCAAAACCCATCTCTTCAGGGAAGCCTACCCCACCCTCACCTAACGGCCATCCTCCCTCATTCCTCCCACCACTTCATCCCCCTCAGCCACTTCCTACTGTACCTTTACCCCCTCCCTCCTAGATTGTAAGCTCGTAAGAGTAGGGCCCTCTTACCCCTCGTACGTTGTTTGTTGTTGTTGTACTGTGCCATGTATTGTCCCCCCTATTGTACAGCGCTGAGCAAACCCTTTGGCGCTATATAAACTCGTAGTAATAATAATAATAATAATAACTAACTGGTGTGAAAAACTCCATAGGATTTATTGGTCATGCATTTTTCTTCCATTTTTGGTAAGGCAAAAACTAAGGAAAAACTGATGATCAAAGTGAAAGGGCCCTTACCCATATTAGGTCCTAGAAAAACACCCTGGGCCTGAAACTAGGATTGACCATTGTAGAAGAACATGTTGCATGTTATGCCGCAGCGCATATAGTTTACTTGGTGCACTTTTTGAAACAATTATTATTTGATACATTGTAATTTCCTTACTTGGTTGGATAGCAGCATTGGTATATTGAGAGAAGAAACCGGTTTGTTTCAGGCCAATAAGATGTTTTGTTGGAGAATTGTTGAATGGAATTGGGTGAATGGCACTGCTTCAAGGAAGATAGCATGAGGGATAGAACACAAAGATTCTCATGAGATGTCCCTCAAGTCTCGAGCATGAGCTTCTAGAGAAAGAACTTTCTTTAGCTTGGTATGTGTTGAGGACCAGACCCAAGCTTTCCAGGTGAAAGAAAGGCTGCAGAGCAGAATTTTATTAATCGCCCAGCTAAAGGCCTGGAGCATCTGAATTGTCTTGTGGACATTTTCAGATAGAAACTCCAAAGGAGATGGGTGCTTCAGAATAAGGTCATTTAGATAGATTGCTACTTAGATGCCCTGCTTTCTGAGCAGGGTAGCAGAGGTGCTAAGACATTTGTGAACACTCTGGAAGCAGAGAGAAGGGTGGTGCCAAAGACTGGAAGTGGTTTCTGCCAATGCGAAGCGCAGAAAGCACTGATGACAACATAATGACTGAAAAATGATCACTGCGCACTACCCTTACATCTGCCATTTACTGTATATGAGGACACCATGTGTAAGCAATTGTCATATTTATGTAGCCGTTAGTATGTTGTATTTTCAACCCCGATACACAATATTCCTCTGAAAGGGCATAGCAAACACCCTCCCAACTCACTTCCACGGTTTTGGTTTTAATATAACTATGACATAGGATACATATTCCTGTTCCTTTCCTATACAGTATTCTGGCAAGATCAACCTTTACTACCATTCATGAAAACGATAAAAAAGTTATACAGAATGGAAAACACTGCACTCTATAACCACTTCATTTCCTATTTACCTTCATTACTTTGTGCATTGCCAGAAGACAACAGCTTCCAGATGAGGTAGGGGCCACCAAGGATGACAGCAAAAAATAAGAAAATAGGCCACGATTTGGCGGAGTTGGTGGCATCATTCTCGGAGCCAACTCGAGCCACAGTCCCTGCACTCTCAGTCCACAAATCCTCATTCTCTGAACCTCTTCGAAGACCTAGAAGTCTCTGCAAACGTCGGTACAGGAACCGGATTGTTCGGACAAGTGCAAAAGCAGAAAACACCTTAGTAAAGTGGACCTTTAGCCGGGAGAAGTGGTTTGCCACATCTAGAACTGCTCTGAAGCTATTATAAACAGCTGAGAAAGTAGCGTCCATCATCATGCTGACTGAGGCAAAAGCATGAACGATGCTTTCGATGGACTGGAATGCTCCCCGGCTGCTTTCTTCAGCTTGGCGGACAAATCTGCTGGGAGGCACTTCATCTGTCTGGAACCGGTTATAACCAAGCGCACTGCCATAGCCATAGCTGTATGGGCTGTAGCCACCATAGAATGAACTGCCATATGAGCCATAAGAGCCAAAACCGGTGAGAAAGAACTGTAACCAGGTCGGTAGGTATTAAGTGAACTTGTTCTGGTTTGCTGAGAAGGTCTTGGTAGTACAGGTGGTGCAACCCTGGTGAGAGCTGGCTGGCCTGGCCTGGTAATAGTGCTTGTCCTCAAGTCAGCTGACCTAAAAAAAAACAACACAAAACGTAACTTGACAACAAAATAGAAAAAGTTCCCACAAATATATTGTCTATGTTTATGCATTATACCAAATTAATATCAAGTGTTGTGCTGCTCAAAGTCACAAAAAATAAAAATGCAACATGAATATGAAATTGTGCTAGGACCCCTGATGAAGTCACATGATTCGGGACGAAACGCGTGGAAAGGAGCCAGTGACATCAAAGCCGGTATTCCGGAAGCACGGCGGAGACACTGTGGGGTTTATTTACTAAAGCTGGAGAGTCCAAAATCAGACTCCCTTCTGCATAGAAACCAATCAGCTTCCAGGTTTCATTGCCAAAGCTTCATTGAACAAGCTGAGGTTAGAAGCGGATTGGTTTCTATGCAGAAGGGAGTCTGATTTTGGACTCTCCAGCTTTAGTAAATAAACCCCTGTGTGTTTGCAAGCAAGATCAAGGCTACCTTTGTACCAATGTGCAATGCTTCCTTTTAAAGGTGTTGTTTTAATAAAAGAAACGTGTCATTTTAACGTACTACACTATGGTGGCTTTATGTGGTAAGACTTAAACCAAGAGATCTGTTTTACAGTGGTAAAGTGACGGGGACATATATGCCTTATTAGTGATTGCAGCAAGAGGACGATCGGGACCTGTGAGAGGATTTGGCTAACCCCCATCTAGAGGGGAGAGGTGCAGACTGACCGGTTATAATTTGTGGGTCAATAAATGAAGGTGAGGATCCATCTGTAAAGCATGTCTGTGGCAGTGGTGCACATCAACTTATAAAGTTTACAGCACCGGGAAAGTGGGTTCACTCACCAACAAGAGTATGCTCCTTTAGAAATTTGCAGAGTGAAAGAGACTTTTGGGGACTGTTTTTTCTTTATTTTGTTTCAAATTGCAATTTTTATTTCAGATGTTGAATATTGTTTTAGCACCATTTCATATTCACGCGGCATTTTTGTGCAGTGCAACACTTGATATTGATTTGGTATATTTATTTACATGTGAAGAACACACACAACTTGGTGATGGAAGCAGCTTTGTGTATTTATATAGTTGCACAGGCATTTATTAGTGGCAGCGCACAATTACATTTTGTATTTTTATGCATTTCCCTGGAAACACAAACGCAGATTTAGGCCTTAATTACATTTGCGGTAATAGTTGGGGCTCTAAAGTGATTCTAAAGGCTTATTTTTTTTTATAGAATAAAAAAAATAACAAACATGTCATACTTACCTGCTCAATGCAGTAGTTTTGCACAGACACAGGTTTAGTTTTTCATCAGGTATTTACCAAAACATATTCCAGCTATAGTTATATAATGGATATGGGCTGAAAGTGCACACTCTCAGGTTTAATTTCAGGGTATGCACATCCAAATTGGAGGAAGGGTTTATGAATTACAGCTCTTAAGAGTAGCCATCCCCCCTTTTTCAAGGGACCAAAAGTAATTGGACAATTGAATCAACAGCTGTTTCGTGGCCAGGTGTGGGCTACTCCTTCGTTACTGCTTCATCAATGAAGCAGGTAAAAGGTCTGGAGTTGATTCTAAGTGTGTTATTTCAATTTGGAATCTTTTGCTGTGAACCTACATCATGCGTTCAAAGGAGCTGTCCATACAAGTGAGGCAAGTTATTGTAAGGCTTCAAAAACTAACAAATCCATCAGAGAGATAGCAGTAACATTAGGAGTGGGCAAATCAACAGTTTGGTGCATTCTGAGGAAAGAACGCACTAGTGAGCTCAGCAACATAAAAAGGCATGGATGTCCAAGGAAGACAACAGTGGTGGATGATTACAGGATCCTCTCTGTGGTAAAGAAAAACCCATTCACAACATCAATACAAGTGAAGGACACTCTCCAGGAGGTGGGCGTATCATTGTCAAAGTCTACAATCAAGAGAAGACTTCATGATTGCAAATAGAGAGGGTTCACCACAAGGTGCAAACCATTCATAAACCTGAAGATTAGAAAAGCCAGATTAGACTTTGCCAAAAAACATCTAAAAAAGCCAGACCAGTTCTGGAAAAGCATTCTTTGGCTCGATGAAACTAAGATTAATCTGTACCAGAATGATGGGAAGAAAAAAGTGTGGAGAAGGCTTGGAACAGCTTATGATCCAAAGCACACAACGTCATCTGTAAAACACGGTGGAGGCAGTGTGATGGCATGGGCATGCATGGCTTCCAGTGGCACTGGGTCATTGTTTATTGATGATGTGACAGAAGACAGAAGAAGCCGGATGAATTCTGCAGTGTTTAGAGATATACTGTCAGCCCAGATTCAGCCAAATGCAGCAAAGTTGATTGGATGGCACTTCACAGTACAGATGGACAATGATCCAAAACACACTGCAAAAGCAACCCAGGAGCTTTTGAAGGAAAAGAAGTGGAATATTCTGCAATGGCCAAGTCAATCACCTGATCTCAACCCATTTGAGCATGCATTTCACTTGCTGAAGGCAAAACTAAAGGCAGAAAGACCCTCAAACAAAGAACAACTGAAGACAGATGCAGTTAGAGCCTGGCAAAGCATCAGAAAGGAGGAAACCCAGTATTTGGTAATGTCCATGGGTTCCAGACTTCAGGCAGTCATTGCCAGTAAAGGATTCTCAACAAAATATTAAAAAGGAACATTTTATTTATGATTATATTAATTTGTCCAATTAATTTTGGTCCCTTAAAAAAAGGGGGCTGGCCACTCTTAAAGCTGTAATTCCTAAGCCCTTCCTCCAATTTGGATGTGCATACCCTGAAATTAAACCTGAGAGTCTGCACTTTCAGCCCATATCCATTATATAACTATAGCTTGAATATGTTTTGGTAAATACCTGAAAAAACTAAAACTGTGCCCAAATATATATGGACCTAACTGTATATAACAACATCCACACATGTAGGACACCCAATGTTAGAGGTGATTTATTCTTCCAAAGCAAATACACTTTTGCACACTGACTAGTATTCCAATGTTTCTCTTCTCCTTCAGTTTTTCTCCATCACTGAGCATGTGACCCCAGCACTGATGGAGAGGTGCGGGGGAGGGCATGCAAGGATGCAGTGCAGGCAGCTGACATCCTCCTTATCAACTGTTGATGTCATTGGTTGTCAGGGTGCTGGCGGCTAGAAGGCTGTAATGGTGCACAATGGAAACCTGTGGCTTTGTGTATGAAAAGGCAGGCATGTTCCACCCGCTGACTTGTATTCAAGTTTTGGGCAATTTTTAGGCACCCCTGAAGAACCTCAAGGCACACTGGGTGAGAAAGACTGTACTGGTATGTGGTGCATACTAGTACATTATGACTCCAACCTGCAGGGGCCCATTATTTTCTTTTTTCTGGCAATTTACTACCAATTTAAGGGCCAGCTCACACCACAAAAACGCACTCTGGATGCATTTCGGATACGTTTTTGCTTACAGTTCACACCACATGCAGTTTTGGTGCAGTTTTGATGCAGTTTGCCATGTTCTAGTATGGTTCTGTGCAGAAAAAATGCAGCATGTTCTACTTCCTGCACTGGTAACTGACCGCATTGGTGTGAACTAGGACCATTGGAATACATGGGAAACACTGTGTATGTATTTCCATGCAGGAAAAACCACACTGGACTGCATCTAGTGTAAACTAGCCCTGAGGACACGGCGGCTGCCAGTTTCTTAACAACCAGTTATTCCCTTGCGGTCACAAACGCCAGGGGGGGGGGCGCCGTGGTCACAAACGCCGGGGGGGGGGGGGGGGGGGGGGCGCCGTGGTCACAAATGCCGGGGGGGGGGGCGCCGTGGTCACAAACGCCGGGGGGGGGCGCCGTGGTCACAAACGCCATGGGGGGGGGGGGGGGGGGCGCCGTGGTCACAAACGCCAGGGGGGGGGGGGGCCGTGGTCACAAACGCCAGGGGGGGGGGGGGGGGGGGGGGGGCGTGGTCACAAACGCCAGGGGGGGGGGGGCCGTGGTCACAAACGCCAGGGGGGGGGGCCGTGGTCACAAACGCCAGGGGGGGGGGGGGCCGTGGTCACAAACGCCAGGTGGGGGGGGCCGTGGTCACAAACGCCAGGTGGGGGGGGCCGTGGTCACAAACGCCAGGGGGGGGGGCCGTGGTCACAAACGCCAGGTGGGGGGGGCCGTGGTCACAAACGCCAAACGTGGTCACAAAGGGGGGGGCGCCGTGGTCACAAACGCCAGGGGGGGGGGCGCCGTGGTCACAAACGCCAGGGGGGGGGGGGGGCGCCGTGGTCACAAACGCCAGGGGGGGGCGCCGTGGTCACAAACGCCAGGGGGGGGGCGCCGTGGTCACAAACGCCAGGGGGGGGGGCGCCGTGGTCACAAACGCCAGGGGGGGGCGCCGTGGTCACAAACGCCAGGGGGGGGGGGGCGCCGTGGTCACAAACGCCAGGGGGGGGCGCCGTGGTCACAAACGCCAGGGGGGGGCGCCGTGGTCACAAACGCCAGGGGGGGGCGCCGTGGTCACAAACGCCAGGGGGGGGGGCGCCGTGGTCACAAACGCCAGGGGGGGGGGGGCGCCGTGGTCACAAACGCCAGGGGGGGGGCGCCGTGGTCACAAACGCCAGGGGGGGGGCGCCGTGGTCACAAACGCCAGGGGGGGGGGCGCCGTGGTCACAAACGCCGGGGGGGGGGCGCCGTGGTCA